GATGGGTAGATGACTACCCAGGTGCATGCCTGATCCCAGCTCAGATGACTGCTGGCTGACACAGGGTCTTGTGATTTTGAGACTGTTTGTTACATGGCATTTTTGTGGCAATCAATAACTGATACATCTCTGTGGGCAGGATTCAGCCCACAGGCCTCCTGTTAGTGACCACTGGCCTGGGCAATTCCCAAGACTCCTTCCAGTTTAGAATGTGACTGTAAGAGAAAAAGAAAATTTAACTCCACATTCTTCGCCCCCTTCCCCCTGCCCACCCCGCCCCCCCTCCCCAAGAGCACTATAACCAGATAATGGAATTGCTTTCTACTCTGCTGAGCCATCATGGATCACCAGCTCATAGGGCCACATCTTCTGGGGTACAGGGCTCAGGGGCAGGAGCTGAGGGTGCTGGCAGAAGAGCCGGGTGAGCCAAGCAGAACAGCCGCCTGTGAGTGAGTCACAGTTCCAGAACAACCAGCAAATGGCCCAGCACCTGCTTGCCCACCCTCACCCGCACTTGCCAGCCTTACCAGAGAGTTTTGGCCGCTGGACAGTCATGGTGGGACGGGCCCAAACTGATGACCCTTCCAGAGAAAGTGACAGATGTTAGTAAGTGCCAGTGGGTCCTGCCCTCCCCATCAACAGATGTCCAGACATGAAAAATTAGGGTAAATGAAGGGTGCACGATTAGACTCGGGCCCAAGCTGGGTTCTCCTGGGTGCCAGAGACAGCTGCAAATGCACGTCAGAGACAATTGTCCTGATGTGGCAGTGGCTGCCAGGCCAGGGTGCCTAGGGACAGCTGGACGAGGTGCTGACATGGGGCTCATTCCTCTGTGAAGTCGTCTCTCAGCTGCTAGGAGCGCCGCCAGCCCTTGGGCTTGTGTGTGTCCCGGCTCCAGAGCTGAGCTGGAGGAGCTGTGGATGGGCCCATCAGGGACATGGGCCCAGCTTGGGGCCCCAGCTTGTTGGTGGGTCTCCATGACACTAGCCCCCAGCTTGAGCTGGCAGCTCCTCTCAGGGGAGCCCTCCCTCTTCTCCCCTCTCCTTCTTTTCTCAGCTTTCTCTCTGACTTGGCCGTGGGTCCTCCTATAACCAGCCCCAAGCAATTGGGCCTCATCTCAGCACCTCACAGCCTCTCTCTCCCATATCAGCTTGACTTTTTCTCTTACAGTATTTTGCTTGAAAATATAGGTTCAGGAGTCCCTCCTCGTCCCCCCCACACCCCTCCCCCACCAGTCCCCTGGTGCTGGCAAGAGACTGCTTGGTGGAGACCCCAGCGTGCCTGTGGTGCAGGCACTGAGCTGTTGGCTGAGAACAAAGCATCCTGCTGCCTCTGCAGCACGAGTCGAGCTCTGGGCACCGTGGCTGGCCGAAGGTTTGCAGAAAAGGTTTTCTTTGCTTTTAAGTGGAGCGCCTTCGGCATAAGACACACCCACATCTAAATATTATTATTCGAAAACTGTTCAATGCTCCCTGATGTAGATGAGGTAGGTTTGGTATAAATGATACAACCTATCCTGACAGGTAAAAGCAGTGACTTCTAGGTGATTCTGAAACAACACGAGGGCATATGTTTTTAAGTTGTTTTGAGGTGAAACTCACATAGTGTAAAATGAAGCATTTTTAAGTGTACAATTTAGTACATTCACAATATTGTGCCACCACCACCTCTATGAAGTTACTTAACATTTTCGTCATCCCACAAGAAAATCCTGTACCCATTGGCAGTCACTTCTCATCCCCCTCCCCCGGCTCCTAGGAACCATGGATCTACTTTGTCTCTGTGAATTTGCTTATTCTGGGCATTTCATATAAATGAAATCAGACAACATGTGGCCTTGTGTGTCTGGTTTCTCTCACTGTGATGCTTTTGCAGTTCCTCTATGTGGTAGCATGTGTCAATACTTCACACCTTTTTATGGCTGAGTGATACACCAGGGCACTTTTTATTAGATTCAGGCTGAATGGGCAAAAACTGAGCCCATCCTCCACCCAAGCCCTGTCAGTGGGGTCCGCTCCCTCAGATGAACTGGACCTCTTCGGTCAGGTCCCAGGAAGGAGGACCCTGGAGGAAACATGAGAACATGAGCTCCTGGCAGACCTCTTTGATGGCCTCTCCCACTCTGGGCAAACCCAAAGAGGGAGCCTGGAGCCCGGCAAGCTGGAGGCCAGACAAGGGGCCCCTTTCTGTTGTGCACAATGCTCCATTGTGCCGTCCTCTGGGGAGAACAATGCAGCCCCCGGACAGGGGAAGCTGAGGACAAAGGGCCCATTTGTAAGGACTGTCCCCACCTGAAAAGCAGCACCCAAGGTCACACCTGATGGCAGAGCTATCCTTCCTTGCCTTCTATCTCCGAGAAGCTCCTGCATCCGGACAGAGACCTAGGGAAGCAGGGGCCAGCTTGGGCTGAGGGTGCTGGATTCTCCGTGCTCTCCCCAAACAGCTGTGCTGCCCCAAGTGCTGTGCCTGGACTACAGGGAGGAGACGTGCAGGTTTGGGGTTTTTGTGGGAGAAACTGGGAGCAGGGCATGGGCCAGGGCTAAAGTTCCCCTGATCCTCAATGCTGTGAGCCCGCTGGGCACTTGCTCTCCTGCTGCGGGTTACCAGGATGTGGAAGATGTTTGCACCGCCCACTGCAACATCTTTTACAGGTCCCACCGCAGACTTGGGTTCCAAAGAAAGGGTTTTTCATTGGAAAGAAAAGGAAACTTGGGAAAAAATCACACTGTAAGATGCACTTACACGCTATTACTCCAACAATGGTTGGGGGGAGGGATGAGGGAAAGGCTGGGGAGAGGTTCCAGAAGTTGCTGGTCTGGCCTAGATTTGGGGGATTCTATGTCCAGAGCCAGTCCCTGATCTCATGGAGCTCACATTACAGGTGGTGAGGATACAATTAAGCAAAATAGATTAATAATTTGACCACACAAGTATTGATAATTTATATGTCAAAACACTAGGAACAAGATTTAAAAAAAAAAAAAAAAAAAAAACAGGACAAATGCCGGAAGCTGGTCCATCCTTGCTGCTTGACACAGTCGCTGCAGGGAAGAAACATCTGCACAGCATATGTTTCAAGGGACCTGGGGTATATGGCATACTGTTCTTAAGATGTTTGCTCCCCTTCTTAGCACTATGTGTTTTAACCAAGGTCACCTCTCCGGGAAAGGTTGTTTCCCCAGGTGGGGATTTTTCCCTGGAGTTAGGGATTAATAGGACTAAGGAATAGAATCAGTAAAACCCCTTAACTAAGTGCCAGGCGGGTAATCACTTTAACTACAAACAATCACGCTTAAGCTACATAATCTTTACTTAGGATAATCTCCTTCAGTTACTTCCTTGTAGCTTAATAGAACAATAGAGTAGTGACCTTGGAATGGAAATAACAAACACCCTAACCTTTGGAATAGAATGGATAGGATTAAAATCAAATGGTATAAATACAGATGTAACAGGAGAATAAAGCAAGAACCTCGCTATGCTGATCAACTGAACACTGTCTCCATGTCGTTCCTTCTTCACTGACTCCGTCCACACCTTTGGTAACCCCTGGACTTGTTGGGGTTGGACCCCAACAGACAAACATTTGCAATATACACAAAATAACAAGATCTTCAAAATATAGAGAGCTCTGACAAATGAATAAAAACTCATACCTACCTCGATCATTTGCCTCCAAGTGTCCCACAGTTTACCCAATGACCCCTGGGGCTCTAATGCCTACTTTGTCCAGCACACCCCTTCTTTCTTCAAAGGAATGCCTATGACTCCATCCACTTGGAGCCACCTCTCATGAGCACTGCCTGGACTGCTCTAGCCTCAGAATGTAGACCTGCTGGTGACCTCACCGGGATTCTGCTTGGGTCATCCCACCATGGCTGGAGGTCCAGACTTGAGAGCCTGAAGAAGTTCTGCCTATCTAACAGTGGCTTTACTGACCTGAGCTAAATTTCAAGGCCTGCTCTGTCTCTCCCCAGCTATGTGACTTCCACCACAGCATCCTCCTTGGACAGCAAAGATGAGAAGTCCAGGAGGGGACACCTGCAATGCACCTGGCCACACACCCATCCTATATAATAAAAGGCTAATATGCAAATTGACCAAATGGAGGAATGACCAGTCGCTATGAGGCGCACTGACCACCAGAGGGCAGATGCTCAACACAGGAGTTATCCCCTAGTGGTCAGTGTGCTCCCACAGGGGGAGCACCACTCAGCCAGAAGCCCTGAGCGGGAGCCACTCCCACCTCCACAGCAGCACTAAGGATGTCTGACTGACGGCTTAGGCCCGCTTCCCTCGGGGAGCAGGCCTAAGTCATCAGTCGGACATCCCCTGAGGGTTCCTGGACTGCGACAGGGTGTGGGCTGGGCTGAGGGACCCCCCACCCCCACCCCAGTGCACGAATTTCGTGCACGGGGCCTCTAGTACAGGCAATAACAGCCTGGGGCCCTGAATTGAATCACCGTTCCAGCCTTTCCTCTGTGGCACTGCAACTCCACACACCCCATGAGCCACAGAGGGGGTGAAGTACCTGCCAGAGTATACAGCTGCCCACAGCCCAGCTGTCCCGAATGATGACCCGCCCCTCAACCCCACCTCCCATACTGGCCAGACACAAACATCCCAATAGTCTCCTTCCCATTGCATTTCTATTTCTGGAGTGCCTTCTGCCCCCTCCCTAGAGTACAGGTCCTTGAGGGCTGACGCCTCGGTCAACGAATGCACTGGGGGCCCTCTTCAATGTTGGCTGATGAATGAGTGAGTGAATGAATGAGTCAGTGAATGGAGGAGGTCAACCCTTCCAAGTGGAGTGATGCTTATGGTTTCCTAGGTGCCCACCTCCTTGCCCTCACTGTTACAGTGCCCCGCACGGTCTGCTGGGGGCACGCACGCGCTCGGGCCTCGCGACCGCTCCCCGCACGTGGGCGTGTCCTCCCTGGTCCGGCCCGACGGAGTGGGCGTGGTCTCTCCGCTGTGGGCGGGCGTCCCGGCGCGCACCGCTCTCCGCGCATGCCCCGTGAGGGCCCCGCAATGGCGGCGCCCGGGGAGCAGCTTAGGAGGCGGAAGGCTGCGGACGCTGGCCAGGAGCCTGCGACTCCGCCGGGGCCAGGGCACGACCCCGCGGGCTGCCCGGCCCGCCTGCGCGCGGGCACCTTCTGGCTGACCAGGATCGTGCTCCTGAGGGCCCTCGCCTTCGTTTACTGTGAGTCCGCGGGGCCTGCGCTCCGTCGGTACCGCTCCTCCGCGCGCGCACGCGACTCCAGCCGGTGACTCTGCCTCGCACAGTCCCCAGGCGGCTCCCCATATGCGCCCCCACCACGCCACGGCCCGTGCACCCCACCGCGCGACTCCCTCCCCTCGGGTCGCGGGATCTGGCTGAGGTCTTGGGGAGCGGGGGTTGGGGGGGGGGGGCGGTAGGTTTGGTCTTTGCAGGTGACTTCTTACCTGCGCCCACTTCGCCCTCCGTTGCCTGCCCCCCTCTTCCCCAGTCACACCCGCCGGCCGTCAGTTGCCGGGACCCAAGTCAGGACCCCAAATGGAGCAGGACTGCGCAGGGCCCCCTCGCAGGACCTCGGCCGGCCTGGGGCCGCGCTACGGAAACCCGAGTTCATTAGTCCGCTATGGGCTGGGGGCCGCGAGGACGTGGGTGCCCAGCGCCCTGGGCAGCACCCCTTTCCTGGACCCCGGAGCAGCCCAGCCGCAGAGAGCAGTGTCTGCGCTCTGTGCGCCTCCGATTGCGCTCCGAGCGCATCCTGACCGGTGGGCAGCCCCTGTGGGACCCGGGGCCGCCGGGACTTTCATCACCCCCGAGGCCCAGCGGGTCCGAGGCGCACCCCACCCCACCCTCGCCTCCTCAGGTTCACCAGGGGTTTGTTGGCAGCTTTGAGACAGCAGGTAAAGCGTTCGCATTACCTGGGGGCTGAGTGACACCCACATCTGAAAACCCGGCAGGCAGCAGTACGGGGCCTGCCCAGCCAGCCTGCGGAGTCCAAAGAAGTCAATCTATGCCCAGGATACCAGCCCTCGCCCTGGCGGCCAGCACGGAGTTCGCCTCCCCCACCCCAGTCCCGACACTCAGAGGGGCGCAAAGGCCCTGAGCACTGAGCAGCAGGGAACACACAAGTAGTACATGCTTCCTGAGCCCGACCTATAGTCATGACTAAAACCAAACTCTGAGATTCTTAAACCTGTAAGTGAGGGGAGACCAGAGGGGATGGGGATGGGGAAGGGGATGGGGAAGGGTTCCAGGCTGAGTGGCCTGGGCTGGGTGAGTGGTCAGTTAACTTCCGTGCTGGTCCCTGGCAGTGATTGTGTGCTATTGGCACTGCAGGGCCCAGCTTCGTTTCTAAATCTCTTCCCTCACACGTGAGAGAAAGAGAATTGCCGCTCTTTGGACAGTGACCTCCCATAAATGGGCAGCGTCCCAGGCGGGTGAGGCTGCGGGTTCCCTTCCCCGGGATAACTCAGGCAGTCTCCTGGCGCACAGTGACACGTGGTTGTCACTGCAAGGCTTCCTTGGGGGGACTCCATGTGTCACGGGGTTGCCAAATGGGCGTTCAGCTCAGCCCTCTTTCTCTTTTAAGTTACATAAAAAAATAGTCCTTTCGGTGTTGCTTTATCCTCCACAGGATACTCATTCTAAAGGTTTGAGCTGTCACTTAGCAAAAGATGAAGTCAGGACTAAGTGAATCTGTGAGACTTTATTAGACCTTGGAAAAGGGAGCCTGTAACAGTGGAAAAACCCCAGGGGCTTCGCTTGCAGAGAGAGAGAGAGAGAGAGAGAGCACAACTTTATAAAACCTGGCCCTCCGCTTTCAAGTGAGCAGGCCGCCTTTGATCTCCACGGGGATTCTCTGTTCAATTCAAAAGGAAACAGTTTTGAGCCACAGGGTCAAGCAGATATAGTCTGTGCTGAGCACAGAATGCTTTGCTTTGGCAGATGCTTTTTTTTTTTTTTTTTTTTTTTCTGTCTTGCAAGTACACTTGGGGTAAAATCGGTATTTTTCAGCTGTACGAAGGGGCCATTTCCCCATCTTTCAGGGACGGGTTGTCTGGCTGAGATGGCTCGGGGATCCTGCACTGCTCTCTCTCCAGTGGGTTCCAGATCTCCCGGGACTGTGAGCCACTTCAGAGTCCCTGGAGCCCCGGTGATTGTCCAGGATGCCATAGGGCTCTTCACACATTTCACTTGATGTTGAATTTTATCGTTACTCTCATGGACTGCTAAGCCCACCGCAAGGCTGAATAATGGGCCCTTGCCCTGAGCCTCCTTCACTCTCTATGCATTTAGAATTCTTAATGTGGCTAACATACCAGTCTGTTCGTCCACCTGTGAGCTCCTAGCAGCATAGTCAGTGTTTTATTTAGACCCCGCTGTCTTCCAGGGATACCTCCTGCTCCGTAAAATTTCCTTGACTTTGCACACGGTCTTTATCATTGTTCCGTGCGACCACCGGCTACTCTTCCAACCATGTTTTCTTCCCCTCTCTTGCCTGCTCCTGCAATATCCTTAGTCCCTGGGTGTGAACATTCAGTTCACAGACTGCACCCCTGCAAGGCCCCCGGGTCCTCCCTCCAGTTGTATTCACAATTCCTCAGATCTCAGTCTTCTTATTTCTTGGCTTATTCTCTCTTTTTGGTGGAATATACCCCCGAACAACTTTTAAGAAAGGATATGGAGAAGGTGGCTTTGATGTCTTTCCTTGCGTGCATGGAAATTATCAGTTTGCCTGAGTCTACAAATCTTAGGCAAAGCAGTTTTCCTCAGGACTTCCTGGTGTTGAGAAGTCTTCACACAGTCTGACTCCTGCTCTTATGCAAGTGCCTAAAGGGAAACTCTTCTATTCACACACTTCTGACACCAAATGTGTGAGTTTTTTCCTCACATTAAACAATTCTGACAGTGACTGCCTGGCATTAACCAGACCCCACAGGCTGTCTCAGTCCCATAAGATCATTCCCACTTCGGACTCTAGTCCAGCGGTTCTCAGCCTGTGGGTCGCGACCCCGTTGGGGGTCGAATGACCCTTTCACAGGGGTCGCCTAAGACCATCGGAAAACACATATATGATTACATATTGTTTTTGTGATGAATCACTATGCTTTAATTATGTTCAATTTGTAACAATGAAATTGGGGGTCACCACAACATGAGGAACTGTATTAAAGGGTCGCGGCATTAGGAAGGTTGAGAACCACTGCTCTAGTCACAAGTTCAGGTGGTCACCTGTGCTTTTGACTGACCAGCTGTAAACCAGCGTTCCCATGAGCCCTGCTCGGGTTCCACAATGTTCTAAAAGGGCTCATAGAACTCAGGGAAACACTTATTTACTGCTCTGTTATAAGGATGCAACTCAGGCAGAGCAGATAGAAGAGGTGCTCTGGGAAGGTGCGGGAAGGGTGCAGAGTTACCGGGCCCTCTCCAGGAGCACCACGTTCCCAGCACCTCTACGTGCTCAACAACCCAGAAGCTCTCCAAACCCCTTCATTTATGGTTTTTATGGAGGTTCCATTACACAGGCTGGTTGATTAAATCATTGGTCATTGGCTATTAGCTTAGTCACCTAGCCCCTCTCTCTTCAAGAAGTTTGGGGACAGGGCTGAGAGTTCCAGACCTGGTAACCAGCGCCCTACTCCAAGGGTCACCTCAGGGGAATGAATCCAGGTATCACTGAAAGGATTGTGCTAATGAATAGCAGCAAATGCTCTTCTCACCCCATCACTAAGGAAATCCCAGAATTTTTAGGAGCTCTGTGCCGGGACCAGAGATGAAGACCAAAGAAATATTTATTGTCTGACAATATCACAGGGACCTATTTTTCTCTCTGGAAGCTTTTAGAGCCTCCCATCCTTGCTCTGGTCCTTGTTATTTAGTGGCAGGTCTATGTGAGGTCCCTTCCTTGTTTCTTCTCAGGGACCCTGGGGAATTCTCTGCCCTATTCTGGACGTTCTCTGGTCCTATGTAGTCTGCTGACTTGAGCCCGTGTCCCAAACACCCCATTTGGGGACCACCGACCCAGCTCGCCTCCCTGTTTGGGTGGGCCCTGCAAAGCCACTTCACAAAGCTAAACGAGGGTCTGATGGAGAAGAAGATGGGCTCCTCGCAGGTCCTGGGAGTTGTGTCCCCATGCGGAACCCACCTCTGTGACTGCTGGGACCATCAGAGTAGTGGTGACTGTGCCGTGGGCATTGGAGCCAATGAAGGACTTTTGACACATGAACAAAATTGCTTATCTCATCACATTGTTACCTCAGGGGCCCCTGGGACAACATTCTTTAAAAATTCAACTTTGAAAGTATCTCAAAGCTAGTTTCTGGTCAGCTCTAATTTCTGGTTTGCTTATAGTACCTTTTTTTGGTTTAGATGCATCTTGTGATACCATGCTTGTCATGTATATTTTGATTTCTTGCAATTACTCTATCCTCTTTCTTTACATTACATATAGCAGAATTTTATTACCTTTCCCCCTCCATTAATACTCCTTGGTTGAGTACTGTGCTTGGAGGTGAATCTCAGTTGCACTTTCTAAAAGGGGTAGCTTGTTACACTTTTGGTTACGACAAATCAAGTCTCCTGGGATCGATCTTGTGGCTCAGCCTGGCTCCCAGATGGCTCCCAGCGCAGGATTGAAGTAGCAGGGCAGAACCATTCACACCCACGTTTGCTAAACTCTTAGCTGTTCTTTGGAAATTTTGAGGGAAAAGTGGAACCAAAAGAATCCTTGAAATCTTGCCTCATTCTGTGTTGTTCTGAGCTTCTGAGAGTTTCTGGGACATTCCTTCTTGTTCTCCAGGCCACTCAAATTCTAATGAAACACTCTGCTTGGTTTTACAAGCTTCTCTGTAAAATGCTTCCCGTTTGTTTAAAAAACAAACCCCACTGCCCTACCTCTGAGCTCTCTGCAGCACAAGCCTTTAAAGAAAAAGTATCAGGCTCTTCTATCAAAGCCAGAATTTAACCACCGTCACTAAGAACTGCCTGGTGGAGAATGACATTTTAGGGATGATTCTGGTTCACTTTTATAGTGATTTATCTGAAAGAGAAAAGTCATTTTTTCTTTTTTCTTGACTTTATTGGGTGACATTGATGAATAAAATTTTGTAGGTTTCAGGTGTACAATTCTATAACATATCATCTGTATATTGTGTGTTCACTATCCCAAGTCAAGTGTCCTTCCATCACCATTTATCCCTCATTCCCTT